GAGTAGCACTTCATACTACCGTGGGTTTTTTAAACCTTCCCCTAGTTTTGTTGATGTTATTCCGAGAATTAGCAAACCGTAACGAAGATGTTCTTGGCAACCATCTTTTGATGGGAGTCCGGCTGTTCGAAAGCCGGCCAAGGGTGATGAACGAAATGTGAACCCTTGTCTCGCCTAGGTTGGATGGGCGTGCTTCGTTGGAAAGCATGGATCCGCCTAGGCTGTCCCGAGTGTGAGCGAGGTGTGAGTGTCGCCCATGGGCATCGACACCTTGCGGCTAGGAACTGGAACGAGACGGGTAGCAAAGATTTCGAGTAGCACTTCATACTACCGTGGGTTTTTTAAACCTTCCCCTAGTTTTGTTGATGTTATTCCAAGAATTAGCAAACCGTAACGAAGATGTTCTTGGCAACCATCTTTTGATGGGAGTCCGGCTGTTCGAAAGCCGGCCAAGGGTGATGAACGAAATGTGAACCCTTGTCTCGCCTAGGTTGGATGGGCGTGCTTCGTTGGAAAGCATGGATCCGCCTAGGCTGTCCCGAGTGTGAGCGAGGTGTGAGTGTCGCCCATGGGCATTGACACCTTGCGGCTAGGAACTGGAACGAGACGGGTAGCAAAGATTTCGAGTAGCACTTCATACTACCGTGGGTTTTTTAAACCTTCCCCTAGTTTTGTTGATGTTATTCCGAGAATTAGCAAACCGTAACGAAGATGTTCTTGGCAACCATCTTTTGATGGGAGTCCGGCTGTTCGAAAGCCGGCCAAGGGTGATGAACGAAATGTGAACCCTTGTCTCACCTAGGTTGGATGGGCGTGCTTCGTTGGAAAGCATGGATCCGCCTAGGCTGTCCCGAGTGTGAGCGAGGTGTGAGTGTCGCCCATGGGCATCGACACCTTGCGGCTAGGAACTGGAACGAGACGGGTAGCAAAGATTTCGAGTAGCACTTCATACTACCGTGGGTTTTTTAAACCTTCCCCTAGTTTTGTTGATGTTATTCCGAGAATTAGCAAACCGTAACGAAGATGTTCTTGGCAACCATCTTTTGATGGGAGTCCGGCTGTTCGAAAGCCGGCCAAGGGTGATGAACGAAATGTGAACTCTTGTCTCGCCTAGGTTGGATGGGCGTGCTTCGTTGGAAAGCATGGATCCGCCTAGGCTGTCCCGAAGGTATCTCGCGCTTGTACGGCTTTGGCTCGGATTCGTCCGTCTTCTTTCTTCTTAGCCGAGTACTTCGGTAGATTAGTTGGAACGATTGATGATTTTGAGTTAATTGAACGTTCGGCGTATGAGTGGTGATCGGATAGCTAGTGTTCGTAGGCTCCATGCTCGCGCATCGAACTACCTACCACCTATCCTTCTCAGTTAATTCACGGGCGATGTTACGCTCGATGATGAGTTCCGGGGCCTGTGTTTCGTACCTAATTTGAAGGAATTGTTGAGTTTGGTTTACACCTTTGCCCGCGGCTTCTCCTTCGTGGGGAAGTCGTGGGCACAAACATCGGCGCTTGTTCACCTCTCGTCATCGCATTTGTTGCCTTGCTCGCATTGGTGAATGAGTTGCGGGTTGAAATCTCGGATGCGGAAAAGTTGTCGACGGTGACTCGAAGTGATTCAGTCCCGCCAAAGCTCATCCGTCCTTCGGGCAAAATATGACGGTCAAGACCTCGTCCTTTCTCTCTTTCCATTGCGTTTGAGAGGATGTGGCGGGGAATTGCCGTGATCGATGAATGCTACCTGGTTGATCCTGCCAGTAGTCATATGCTTGTCTCAAAGATTAAGCCATGCATGTGTAAGTATGAACGAATTCAGACTGTGAAACTGCGAATGGCTCATTAAATCAGTTATAGTTTGTTTGATGGTAACTACTACTCGGATAACCGTAGTAATTCTAGAGCTAATACGTGCAACAAACCCCGACTTATGGAAGGGACGCATTTATTAGATAAAAGGTCGACGCGGGCTCTGCCCGTTGCTCTGATGATTCATGATAACTCGACGGATCGCATGGCCTCTGTGCTGGCGACGCAT